ATAGTTAATAATACTGTATTCCATATTTGAGAGTTGCTAAGAGAGTAAATCTTACAAGTTCTCATCACAAGAAAAAGATTTTTCTAACCATATATGGTGACAGATGTTAAATTGACCTATTGTGGTGATCATTTTGCAATATATACAGATATTGAATCGTGTTGTACACTTGAAACAATGTCAATTATATTATACCTCAAAATAATATGGGTATAAAAATTATACCATTCTTGGCATTATATGTCAAGTATAACTAAATAGGAGGCTAAAACAGAAATTTTTAAAAATCTATACTTTAATTCATTTAGAAAAAATAATAACCTCATATATTAACATAGATATATATTTTAGAAAACTAAATATGCTTTCAAAACAAAAGAAGTGAGATAAGTGGCATTATTTTACATTATTATAAGTGTTTTCAAAGTTTGCCATGAAAGCAGAGAGCTAGATTCTCATATATACTTTTCCATTTAGTCTGCTGTAGTACCAATATATTGTTTTGATTGAAGCATATAAAGAAAATCTGGCTTCAGAGAGATATATATCTGGACAAGAGAGGAGTATTTTAATAGCTTATTTATATAACTGGAGGTTTTTCTTTGATCCTTCACCAAAACTCAGCAAATAGTGGTTCCTTACAGATTAATGTCATTATGGAAACATTTTTATACTCTATTGCATTAGAGTCCATTGGTCTATCCTGCACTTTGAATGGATCTTTTACCCATGCATGATTTTCTAACTTGTACATTGGTCATTCAGAAAATATTGGTTCACTGAATCAGGCACACCTTCCAAAGGTCGATTAAATTTGTTCAACAATACCAAAAAAATTCACATTAGTTAAGGCCATCATCAATCTCATCAGAAAAGTCTCTCAGCATTGGGAAGCTGTCACACAAAGGTGTATACAGGTTTTTCAAAATTCAAATTTTCACTTCAAAGCTCAAATTTTATAATTGTCAATAAGTACTGTCAGTTGTTTTTCTTGAAGTGACAGGCTCACTTTGTTCATTTTTGAGAAACTGCCTGCCCAGTCCTCAAGACTGAGTAACTATGGTTTATGTCATCCGTTTTTTAAAATAATGGTGAAAAATGCAGCCAGTTCAATTTACAGCTCAAAGGCACAAAGGCTTTTCCTTGTGACAACCCTTGTACTTGGGGATGCACAAAAAAATTAAGAACATGTATTTGAAGGTCAAGATTTAATAATGTTAATCATTTTTACTGCTTCATGACAGATCTTCTTCAAAGTGGTATTTTACATATTTACAATGCGTGCATAAAGGCAAAGAAACACACTGCCTTGATTCATGCTAAAGTGTGTGCAGTTTTACTCACCATTTGCTTCCGGACGATCGGTGCAAATGTCAACCCGGTGAAAAAAGCAAGTGAGGAAAATCGCTTTGACCTTGCTGGCCCCCTGAAAAGGTTTTAGGACACCCAGCGGTCTGCAGACCACACACTGTGAACTACTTCCCTGAACAGAAGGGCATGGATGTTTCTGGAATGTGACAGAATTCTGGAATGGTGACAGGAGCTTGAGTAGAAAGGAGTGGAAGCGTACCAAAAATTTGGCTCTTTGCTCAGCTCTGACAGGACTCACAGAGAGTGTTCCTGGTAGCTGTGTGCCTTGTAGACAAGGGGAAGTTCCTTCAAATTTGTTGCATCTGTTCCTGTTTTCTGCAGATATCTTTCTTTCAATAAATTCTATATCCTTGGGCGCCTGGGTGGCTCAGTTGGTTAAGCGACTGCCTTCGGCTCAGGTCATGATCCTGGAGTCCTGGGATCGAGTCCCGCATCGGGCTACCTGCTCAGCGGGGAGTCTGCTTCTCCCCCTCCCGCTCCCCCCTCTTGTGCTCTTTCTCTCTCTCACTCTCTCTCTCAAATAAATAAATAAAATCTTTAAAAAAAAAATTCTATATCCTTCACTGAATTAATCAGAAATTAAGAGCGGGGATGAGTGGACTCTTTTGGCCCATCAAGAATCCAAACTGTAACACTGCACACACATTATTTCATTGAATCTTCACAAAAAGTCACAAATAATTCATTTCCGTCCAGCTTTACTTGCTTTTTAACAACATTAAATTTGAGACTCAAAGTAACAGAAGAAACACTGGAAGGTTCTTCTTAGCTTAGTGCCCTAAGGCGAGGGGCATGTATTTTTTTTTTCCCCCAGCAGGCCCTGCAAACACCACACCCTTGGCCTACTAGTTCTCTCATCAAGTACTCTTTATGTCAGTCCTTCTTGACCTTGGGTGCACACTAGACTTACTTGGGGAGCTTTAAAAAATACTGATGTCCTGGTGCCATCCCCAGAGATGATGATGTCATTTGCCCGGGTACAGACCGGGCATGGGGGATTTTAAAAGTTTCTAAGGGGATTCTCATGGGCAGTCAGGGATGAGAACCACTGTTTGGGATGAGGTGAGAAGGATGTTGGTATAATCAGCGATAGAAACGTTTACCAAAGTCACTGCTTCTCTGCCCATGGCCAATGTTTACAGTATGCACTGCAACATGAGAATTATGCTTAACTCACTTAAAATATAGCACTTGTTTCTCCTTAGTAATAAAAGCATAGGAATGAGGAAGGCATCTCGCTTTGTTAATCAGAACCAATTTTATTGGTGAATGTGCAGAGGGAAGATGCAGGTCTATTACTGTGGGGTCATTTCTGAAGATGTTCAGCTTAAGGATTTGTTTTCCTATTTGTTCTATGGCTGTGTCAGAGCTTGGGTGAAATTTGATCTCTGTGCACAGGATTTGGACTTTTTGTTTCTTCTGTCTGTCTCCCCATCAGAAGGAACAAGTTTTCCAGCAGGATGGTGCTGTACTTAGGCAACAGTGTTCCAAGACTAACAAGCTGACTTCAGAAGGAACCGAAATGCTGTCATCTGTCAGGCCACAGTTCAAATCCGAATCCTTCTGAGTATCTTCCCATCAGGCTATTTAGTGGGTTTCTGATGCCCTCTGAGACTAAGCATGGATTCAAAGGCTTGATGAGAGGAGCCACTTCTTTCTTGGAATATTGGAACGAGACGAAATGCTTTCCTTTCTCAGCCAAGTGGCAGCCATTTTAGAAGATGGTCCTGGGAAGGGACTGAGTTCCAGGGCCCTCAGAAGTGATGCTTCTCGAAGTGTTCTCCTACTGGCTGCTGGTTCCTGGACCATTTTGCTACTGGTTCACAAAGAGATAGGGAGCTGGCCCCAGAATGTAAATCCACAGTGTCAATAAATGCATTATTTGGTTTGGCTGATATTTTTTGATAGCAAAACCTTCTCAACGGAGGCAGCATGTTGATTTTAAATTCAGAGGTAGGCTCCTTATTTTATTACGGACCAGTGCTCTGAGTAACATTGCTCTAGAGGAGAACCAGAGGTGAGACACTTGTTCCTTTGTCTCTATGGGGACAATTACAAATTAGGAAAAGGAAACACAGTAGACTTTTCCAAAGACACAGCTTTTATACTCACCTGACTAGACTCAGTCATTTCTAGATTTCTCTAATAAGACAGCCTATGCAATTCCAATCAGGACTTTAGCTAAAGGACTGATAAATTCTAGACAGGCAGCCTAGACTAAGTAAGGCCTTAGGCTGTAAATAAAGCTATTAAAAATAGGCTTGGCCAGAATATATGGCAGTTGTTCCACAGAGCAGTGAATGTGAACTACCTGCAACTGCTGAGGAATCTGATGTGTTTCCAGACCTGCGGACCATTCTGTTCTTACAGAAAGCTCCGGACCCAGTTCATGTCGAGTCACAAACAACAACAGTACTGCTTCACAAAAAGCACATTTGTACCCACACTGGTAGCATTTGCTTTAGAGTTATCTCATTTCGTGAGAAATGGAATGACTACATAGTATTTTAATGTTTTAGCCCTGGTGTAACAACTAGGAATCCTGGGCTAGGCTATGACCTTCTCGTTGACTATCCATCTCAAGACTGAGAAAGAGCATCTAAGTACTTAGGAAGAATCAGCGTTGACTCTGATTTTTGAGGTTTATTCTGAACACACCATCTGTCATACCACTATACCGTATCCGTCTTTGAGATGAGCTGTACTATGAATGCTAATCATTCAATGATTCATTCATTCACCAGGAATATATCACAACTAGCCTAGTTCATTGATTCTAAGATGCACATTTTTTTTTCACATTTTAACATCTCTGAAGTGGGGAGTGTCTTACAATCAATGACATCCTTTTTAGTCAAAGTCCTGTTGGGAAACAGATAGCAGGCTCAGATGGGAATTGAAGAGGACATAATGAAAGGATTATAATGGCGTGGGCATGGTAAAAGAACTCAGTGAGGGGTACTGTAGCACTTCAAAGCTTGCAGTATCAAAGGATATTTACCACCCTAGGCTTGAAGGGTAAGCGGAGGAAGTGATCAGCAGAACCCAGAGAGAACTGTACGTATAGTTTTAGGACAGACCACCTGAGAGGAGCTGGGGCAGAGGAACACAGCCTCTCACAGCCTTCAGCCCCGCAGGGAGGGAGTATGGGGGATAAACACCCTGAACTGTCTTTCCTCTTGTCCTCTAATCTCCACTATTGGCTCCAGTTGGCCAAACTCAACTGAAAACCAGAGGACAAAGAGCAAAGCTCAAGCGGTTTGGAAAAGCACCCCATACATAAAAAAACGTCCCTTCGGAACCCTTCCCTCGTCACTACCTATGATTTATTCAGGAGAGTGCAAAGAGAGCTATGGTGTCAGGGTTCAGATTTACAGGAAGGTAAGTGAGCAAGACCCACAATGATGGTCAGATTCAGTAGGTGAGCACCAAGAAGAGTCACGTTCAACATCATCCTCACCTGAGAAACAAAAACCAGACAATCTGTGTGTCAGTTCAGCAAATGTGCTTTTCTCCGAAGACAACTAAGTATAAAAACAGGAGGAACAGGTGACATACAATCAATCCTCAAGGATATACAAGCCATTTTCAAGGACTCGGGAATAACTTGCAATAGAACACATTAGAGATGTTAGCAAAGTGAATTTAATGAAAAAGACATTAAACTTTGCAGCAAGTACAGGGTGGCACAAAGCTTTGGTTTGGGGTACATGTTCCCCCTTACAGAAGCTTAAAAGTAGGCATGTTACACGTTTAAGTATTGTTACTAATTTTGCCCTGAACATGGCAAGACAAGTAAACAGGAAGAGTTGTTTGGAGCCAACAACAGAACCGAGAAAACCAGCAAAATGAATGCAGCCCTCCCATCATCTCCAGGGGATTTTAAAATACGTTATTGTTTCCTAGAGTGTTCCATCCTTTCCTCTTTACTTAAAAACAAAGATACTGTATTATACACCTAAAAACATGTTAAGAGGGCAGATCTCACGTTAAGTGCTCTTGCTACAATTAAAAAAGGAAATAAAAACAAATGGACAATCAAGCCACAAAAAGCCACGGAGAAATCTTAAATGCATCAAGTGAAACAAGCAAGTCAGAAAAGGCCACATACCATATGATTTCAACTCTATGACATTCTGAGAAAAGACCAAGACGTTACAGAGATGGTAAAAAGATCAGTGGTTGCTACAGGTTGGAGCACAGGGGATTTCAATGGCACCAAAACTCTTCTGCACGATGATGTAATTGTAGATACACGATATTTTGCATTTGTCAAAACCCACAGAACTGTAAAACACCAAGAATGAACCCTAATCTATGGACTTTAATTAATAATGATGTCCCAATACTAATTCACCAGTTGCAATAAATGTGCCACACCACCATGTTCGTTAGAAGAGAAACTTGCAGGGGAGGGGGCAGTGTATATGGGAACTCTCTGTACTTTCTGCTCACTTTTTCTGTAAACCTAATACAGCTATGATCAATAATATCTATTGATTTAAAAACAAACAAAGAGATCAACTTCCTATCCGAGCAGGAGTTGAGGAGAGTAAATGGACAGCCAAAGCAGGTGGGTGCCAGGGACAAAGCAGAAATGAACAGACTCACAGGTAGGTGACCCAGCCTTTGGCATTTTGGAAAGTTACCCCTCTTATTGCTTCCTGAGGAGATCCCCCGTTCCAGTGTCCCAGTGACCCAATGGTCTTTAGCTGTTCTTAGGATATTGAAAGTGTGTCTTCCTTCTCCAGCCTGCTAAACTCTTAGACTCATCTTCAGGCCCAGAAAATACAAAAAAACCCAACCTGCTTGTGACAACAACACTCAGTCTAGGGATGGGGATCTAGTGCATTCAGTTGGGCCAATTCTTGCCCTGATGATGTGGTGCCCCTCTACAAGGTTGTTTAAATATTTGTGTAACATTTATTTTGAGGAACACCTGCCTGGTAGAAGGGGTACAAAGGAAACACCCAATGGAGGTAACTGCCCCCCCTTTCCCTATGTCCTTAGCAATTCATGTCTGGCCCAAATTGTATTCCCTATTCAACAAAACAAAAGCCTTGCCTTCAAATAGACCTTTCTTAGAATTTCTCAACCATGAATTGCTCTTCAGGCATGGGGTCCCCTCCTCACTTATCTACTGAAACAGACATTATTTCTTCCTGCTAATACCATACTCTTCCTTTGAGAAGTTCACTACCTCATTACCTTTTCAGGGATGTTTAATGCCCTTATCACTTGGCACCCTGGTAAGTAGCCAGGACAGTCCCCACCCAACCCCATAAACTGGCTTTGTGCGTTCAGATGATTTACAAGCATATGACTCCAATGGAGCTGGGTTTGGAGGTGAAAGGAAAAAGCTGAAAATTAACAATTAATATTTCCATTAATCCATGTGGAAAAAAAGCCTTCTGGGCATCTTCTAAGGTTCTTCAATACACCCCATCAGTCAGAGGGACAATGTAAGAAGATATTTAGGAATTAAGGACAGATTAATTGGAGGTGATGAGGCAGGTCAAAAGCAAAAAGACTCAGGAGAGCCTAGACATCTATTTCTTCACATCAACTGAAAGCCAATGATCTCTCTTCAAAAATGTCTATTTATGAATAATGAATATGGGAAAACGAAAGAAAAGAACCATAAACGATGGTCATAAACTGCCTTGTAATGGAATGGCTTCCTCCCTTCCTTCTTTTTGAATGCGAGAGATTTAAAAAGTTGTGTTTTTGGGACTCATCCTTTCTCATGGATTTGCACAAACAAGTTTCAATCTTAAGACAAAAGGAACATTTGGCTAAGCAAAAAAAAAAAAAAAAATGCATGGAAGGAGCAATCAGATTCCTTCCTCCAAAGTAAACAGATCTAATGATAAAGGAGTGAAACTAAAATATTTAGATTCAAAAACGTATCTAGTTCCCTGCTCTTCTAGAAGGAGACATTTTTTTCCCTCACAAATGCCAATGATTTATGCTTTAACAATAATAAGATTTTATTTGCTTGCTGTATTGGTTTTTGCCTCAACCAAGGAAAAAGGAAAGCAGAGATAAGTCCCCTTTTGTGCTGAAATACTAAAGAGAAAGATACGATCTACTACCCTATATGAGTGTTCTATCATTTATGGGCAATACTGACTATATATTCCACTTCTCTTTTCCAAATAGGGAAGGAAACCTCTGCCAGAACAGTTTGATGAATTCCAGTGAGGTAAATGATGTACAACTGTGAATCTTTGAAACACCATGCATTCCTCATAATGACAACAGTAGCTTGTATTTCCATGGAATTTGTTTCAACAGAATGGTACATTTCCTTCTGCAAATAAAAAGCATGATTCTGAACAACATCCCCATGAGGAAGGCAGGTTTGATCTCCCTGGCATGAAGGATAGACAACGGGCCACAGAAAGAGATGGTCCTCACAATGGAAGAGGGTGTTAAGGAAAAGTGTGGCAACATGATGTACTTGCAGATTCCACAACCTAGTAACAAAAAATGGACCACAGTTTTTTCTCTCCATCAAATAAAACACATTCTGAAATATTTATTATCTAGTCAGATGAAGCAGGACATTCCAGCCTGAAAATAAATAAATTACTATCACCCACGATGGGTAACATAGCACAAAATAAGGGTTTTTTTTTTTTTTCTTTTTCTTTCTTGTATTTCTGCTGTACACTGGAAACCACTTCACTATATATAGAATGATTAAGCCCTAATGAAGCATTCAGGAAAAAAAGGGCCTAAGAGATTATGAACCACAGAGTGCTGTAACTAGCTCACCAATGACCTTTTCCCCCTACAGTGCATTACAAAGCATATTTCATGTCTTCACTAACTCCAAGTTAGCCCAATTATTCCTATTTTACAGGCAAACAGATCAAGGCCTAGACTGGATAATTAACTTGACTGAGGTCACACAGTTGGTAAATAGTCGAGACTTGAGCTAATATCATCTGAGTCTGAGGTTAGGCTCCTTCCACCTCACCATGGTTGTCTTGCAATGAACAATGTCCAGGTTAGCCAAATCCAATCTGCCATCATGACAGAGTTAGTCCAAACAATATAGTCGAGTTATTTTGTCTTCTAATGCAGTGTTTCTCAAACTGTGATCCATTTGTATTAGAATCACCCAAGAAGCTGATAAACATGATGGAAATTCCTGGGAATCCTGTTCAGTAGGTTTGGAGCAATGCTCTGGAATCCATGTATTAAATTCACACTCCAGATGATTCAGACAATCCTTTGGAATCCTTGATGTGGCCCAATTTCCATGGCTATTGTTCAAACTTTCCAATATTTGTGATAGTGTTGCCTGTGTAGATTTCCTCCTCCTATTTGTTTTAATTTCAGAAGCCATAAATGGTACCATAGTAGGAGGAAAGCCCTTCTGCCAACTTCTAAGGGCAATGCTCAGTTTGATGCGAAATATCTACATGGAACAAAAAATAAACATTGATCACAGTCCCAAATGCCATAGGCTTTTACTCTGAGGTACTTCTGGGATTACTTGATATTTGGATCTCCTTTGTTTCTACAAGTGGGATTTGCCCTTATTTCTTCCATAGCTTTCTCCCCCCCCACCAAATAGAAACCTTAGTGTAGTAGGTGATGATGAGATCAATATTACTGTGATTCAGGTGGGGTGAATTCATCCATTAGTTACTTAAGTACTTAATGATCATTGGTCATAGATTTGTATAAGTTTATTAAGGAAAAAAGAGGCCAGAAATATGAAGTCCCATCAAAATATCTTTGTTTTTGGCATTTTTGTGACCTGGAAAATCTACATCCTGATGATTCCAGTTACAGTGACAATGTGAATGAAATGAGAGCTGATAAATAAATTTCCATGTGTCCTGCAAGTGTTGTTGATGAACTGAATGGATAAAGTCAGGCTTTAAAGCTTGCCCATGTCCCTTTACAACTTGTCTGATTCAACTGAGGGAAAATTGAGGGCTGAGAGCTCCAAATAAGGAGGAGAATGCTCCAGGCAAGGCCACGGTCTCTTCTGAGAAGGTGATACGGAGAGCTGGGCTGGAGAGCACCCTCTGTGCTTTTATCTGTGCTGAAATAGGGTGGGGTGAACTGTTCTGGGTTGTAACTATAGTACTTATAGTGACTGGGTAGATGATGGTATGAGGTACTGAGACAGGAGGTACTGAAGTAGACAGAAACGGGGTACAAGAGGAGGGCTGGAATGAAGAGTTCAGTCTTGACTATGTTGAAAACATGAGCTATCCTGGTGGATATGTCATATAGGCAGCTGGATCTGGGTCTGGGGCTGAGAGGAGCGGTCTGGGTTGGAGATGTGAGTGTGAAGTCATAAGCACAGAAAACCACCGAGGCACCGTACATGATAATGCCTGAGAGGGTGTATGAAGTGAGGAGGAAAGAAAGAACGAGCACGGAAGAATCCAGTGTTTATCACTGAACAATCTTTAGCAGAGAAGGAGCGACTAATGAAACAAAGAAAGTAAGCATTTATGTTATTACAGAAGGCCTCTACTGATGGGCTACTGGATTGTTTCCTATCTTTTGCAATAAATACTTTCGTATGTACTCATTTCTCACATCTGTATCTTATCTCTGTAGGAAAAATACCCAAAAGTGGAATGGCTGCATAATACATATGTCTCATTTTCAATGTTAAAGTGTTGATGTTTGAAAGAAAAGATTCTCAGAAAAGCCACCAAATGTAGACAGCATAGTTAACCATATTTAATGTGGCATTTGATAGGCGTGGTTAAAAAATTTGCTATATCCCTGTAATGTAATACCCTATGGCCATAAGAAAGAATGAGGGAAGAGAAAGAAGGCAGACTTACTTTTCACAATTTTGAACTATTTAAATTTTGTGCCATTCACATATATTACCTATATTTAAAAAAATATTTGTACTTCTACACAACACTTAGTAAAACCAAGTGACCCGAAGATCAATTTGCCTTTCTTTCTGAGAGCAACACCACAGGTTTCTGATGGACTTCTGCATACCTGGGTTTTTGAATTATGGATATACCCAGTTAGATATTGGATTTTATGAAACCATAATACAGAGACTTGCTCTAAAAGTGGCAAAGGTCTGAACACATAGAGCTATACTCATCTAGAGTACAAGCTATAAATTTTGGAATTTATTATTTTGCCACTTTTATTATTAATGAATAAATCTACTTTATTTTGTTTACATTGGAGAGGTCTCCAGACTTCACCAACATCACCCTCTCACGTGCCCTAAAAATGTCACTGAAGACAGAATGAGTCAGATCAAGTCTGCAGACAATTAATTTTTCCAATATAGGAAGTAGTGATGATCTTACAGTTTTTGTTTTCCATTTTTAAGAAGAGCGGCATAGGGATATGAGTGTTGAGTTTAAAAAAAAGTTCCATATACACTAGACCAATAAATTCAACTTTTGAGAATTAGCCTATTTTTGAATAATATTGAAAATGGACTGCTTATTACCAAGAATAATGTTAAATATATTCTTAATTCAGTTTTTAAAATTCAAGAAGAAATTCAGAATATGGAAAAATTAGCTTGAATAAGTCTGAAGATGATTCTAGCTTTCGTACCACTAAAATTCCGTTTCTATCCTTTCAAAGATTTTATATGAATTCAAGTGAAAAAATGAGCTGAGGGGCTAGAACAGGACTCCAGAAGAAGAATGAGTCAGGAACTTCATACTGAAATAACCCGACTCTTCTCCATCTCCTTCATCTATGCCCTCCCGTCCACCCTGATAAGCATAAGATTATGCCAAGGGCTACAGTGGAAAGAATACTGGCCAACAAGTCACACCCTGGATTTAAGTCTGGATACAGTCATAGCTTCTATACGAACTTGGGCACGTCATTTCAGCTCTCTGGGGGCTTCAGATTTGGAATATGCAACCTAAGGAACCAGGTCTGAGGTACCTTTTAGCTTTAACTACTTTTGCATCTAAGTGTGGGGGCTAACGCATCTGGAATTCCAGGTAATACAAGGTATAGTAGATTGAACTACTGGCCACGATTCTTCTTCCCTTCCTGCATTCTCATCCTTGCCGTGACTTCACTGTGAGCAGAGTATATTTCCCTGCTGCTTAATTTTAGGCTTGGCCAGATGACTGCCTTTGACCAATGGGATATCAGTAGATATGATGCATGCAGGGGCTCAAAATGTACATTAGTTCTTATTCCCCTGTAGTTAGTGGCTTAGAATATTTTATAACATAAATGTTTACAATGGAGCTGTCTAATTGCTAGGTCATAACTAGGGTGACACTGCATCTCCCTTTTCCCAGGTCGATCCTGGTTTGCATCTGTTGTTCGGGTAGAAAGGTTTAGTTCTTTGCTTCTCAAAAGTGGGCTGATTTCGATGACAAATTATATAGTCACCATAGAAAAACGGGTCAGTTCATCTTGAAAACTTACCTGGTTAATCCACAAGTTTGCTACAATAACAGAGCTATCTCCTTGTGCAAGCAACCATCCCCACAATGCCTTTTTTTTTTTTTTTTTAATTTTGGATTATGGGAATTCCCAGGGTGAGAAAAGGGTGGCCAGTATCCCTTCTTACTCTTCAAGTGATCTACATTATGAGTGGCCCCTTTATCCCTCAAACCATTTTAGGAAATGCAAAATAACGCAATAATAGAAAAAGTTTAGGGAGTCCAAATTTCAACTGTAGTTTCAAAGAAACTTGTACCATTTCCCTTATGGTATAAAGCCTATGGATCATTGCACAATTTGCCTGTTGACAGGACAGTGTGGCACCCTTTCTATCATCCAATCAAAAAGGCCCTGGCCCCTGGACATATAGAGGTACATGCTCTTCTAGACACTCGGCAAGACCCTAAATGTTCATAACACAGACATCTCTACCCTCGGGTGAGAAATGGCAGGGAAGCAGAATGCCAGGTCCCAAGACCGATACTGGGATGAAATGGCAGCCAGACAGTGCCTGGAGGCCTCACTTTGGAGACTGGTACCTTCAGAGCCTACACTTCCCCATGCTGGACCGGAGCATGAGTACACCCTCGACGGGAGTCCCAGGACTGTCCGCCATCTTCTGCCATAGGCGTTGCTCTTCCCCCTGAGAGTCCATCCAATCCACATTCTTCCCATGGCTCACACCTAAGGAAGGGACAAGGGAGCATTACACTTCACAGATGAAATGTTTTGATCTTCTGGAAGACCCCTATCAACCTCTGAGCGGGCCTTATTGAGCAGAGAGTCCTTCACTGGCTTGTTTTCACTTACCCTGTCTAGTGAGTAGTGTTAGAATGACAGACTCCCTTTGCAGTCGGCACTACGCTCTTCTGCCAAGATAATGAGAAACCAATCAGGATGGCCTTCGTGGCTCATTTCTTCCCCAGCTGTGGTAGTTTGTCAGAGAGCTGGCTCATCGGGACTGAGTTAACATGACAGAAGAAGAGGCTGAAGTGAGCTCTGAGGCTCTCCTTTTTTAACAAGGCCACTTCTCTGGCCTGGGGAGTTTTCAGTTTAGTGGAATAGATATTTTTGGCTCTCCTTAATCTATAACTAAGCACAGCACCACAGAGGTGGGGTTGTTCTCAACAGGAGTATTGACCATGGTGCGTGCAGACCCTCTACGTCTGATGTAAGTTCTGGGATAATGAGGGTCTTGCGGAACCACATGTGCCCTGCCACCGCCATTTCCCTCCAGTCCGCCCTGTTGTGGTTGTGTCTTGTGGCATCAGTGGCCTGTTTCTGCAATCCGTTTGAACAACATTAGATGTTATTTTGTAGGGGTAGGGGGGAAATGGGTTTCCTTTCAATTCAACCAGTGAGTCATCTGAGAAGAGGATGAAGTAAAGTTGGTCTTGGAAGTCGTTCTCTCCCCTATATCCTCTCCTGAGAAAAACCTGAAATAACACCCACGAAAGTAGTTGAAATTCACTTAGACTAAAGTGTAAGTGATATTTTATAAAAGGACTGAATATACACATTATATATCCTAAACTTAGAGCCAAAGGATACAAACCTATGAAGCAGTATTTTGATTTTAACAAGATTTTACTTTAACAAGCAGATTCTTGGCTAAAGGAATGGAGCATCTGTGGTAATTTCAGGAATCAGCTAAGCTGAAGCTACATGTACATCTACTACATATTAACCTGCAGGAACCACTCTCCCGCCCCATGCCTAGTCACAGACCATCTCAGGGTCCCCAAGTCCCTCACCGGTCCCAGAATTCAAACGAACTCCTCCCAGAAAGATGTTGCTGGAAAAGGGCTCCTTGTCCCAGACGGTAAGTTCTAGGCAAACATTCTTTATGTCCTGGGGGCTCAGGCCACTGAACATGAAAGTATGATTCCACTGAGGGTTAACACTCTTCTTTATCACGAGAGTTTTGTGCTTGGTAGCTTTGCTATCATCTGGGAGCAGGTAGCTGCAAGAGAAAATGCAATCAAGCCATTGGTGAAACAGAAAATGGCATCCCCATTTTCAATTATTTAGTTAGTTTATTTATTCAGTTATTTCGATTCCCCATAATTCTTGGTGCGTGTGTGTGTATATATTTGATTTTTTTCTTCAAGGTTCTTATATGCTTAGGTCTAGATTTAAGTGGAAGGTTTTATTGTTTATTTTAAGTAGGACAATAGTAAAATGCCTGCACTCTCCTTTCTAATCCTATTTTGGTTCTTCTGTCATCTTGAAATGAAAGTATCTCCGGTAGTAGGTACTTACAATAAAGAAGACACATTGCAACACTTGAGATTTCATTTCATGTACCAAGAAGAGATGGCTTATCCCCTGATACTCATTCTCTCCTTATTCTTTAAAACAGACTCATTTTTTTTTTTTTTTAGCTAGGCAGAAGAGTGCCCAGAATAAAGGCTACATTCCCAGCCTCCCTTGCAGCCAGTATAGCCATGTACTAAGCTCCAGCCCAAAGGATTTACAAAGTGCTTCTGCATGAAATTGCTGGGAATTGTCTTGACAGCTGGAATCTGGATGGGATAGCTGAAACTCCAGCAGCAATCTTGGCCCGTGAGGTGGATACCATAACAAGATAGAAGAAACATGGGTCCCAAATTATCATGATGTTTTCATACCTGCCCTAGATGCTTTACCCTTTGTCTTTGTTTACATGCAAGAGAAAAAACTTTGCTTTCTCATGCTCTCTTTCCTTTTTAAAGATTTATTTATTTATTTTGAGAGAGAGAGAGCACGCGCGAGCAAGTGGGGGAGGGGCAGAAAGAGAAGGAGGGAGAGAATCTCAAGCCGAAACCCCACTGAGCACAGAACCCTATGCGGGCCTCGATCTCAGGACTCCAAGATCATGACCTGAGTCGAAACCAAGAGTCGGATGTTCAACTGACTGAGCCACCCAGATGCCCCCTTTCTAATGCTTTCTTAAAAATCCGAGGTTCCTTTAAAATCAGCTCAATATTTAAGTGTAATTAGATAATTTACTAGAAAGTTATTGGCCTTTTCCTCATTATAGAACAAAGATACTGTCCTTTATTATCTCTGCTTTGTAAATGTTCAACATGATAAAGTGAAAACTATTTCAAAAGATGTTAAGTCACCCCTGTTAAGGCCACGATGAGGCCATAGGTAAGGAGCCATTCCCTCATCCCACTAGACAGTGGGCAGGAAGAGGCCTGAACTGGATGGTGGGGCTGATGAGGCAAATTGCAATGGCAGGATCCAAATAAAGCATTTCTTTTGTGCTTAAAACTTTTGTGAGAAAGAATGATGGACAGATGAACTGGGACTCAGGCCCACACACTCAACAGTAGGAAAACCCCAGATATCTGCTTCTCCTTACTATTGGCTTTAGCAAAATTAGAATGCGTGAGGGTAAATGTTTGACTCTTTTTTCTTGTAGAGTCAATTACACTTTTTAAAGAAGGATTGGTGAGAGGAATAGTAACGTCATTGACTCAAAGAATTAACCTCATGCCCAAAACCTATAATAAATATATAAAAAATAAAGAAAAAGAAAGCCAAACATAACACTACAGAAACTGATCAACCACAAAGAAAGAGAGCAAGAGAAAAACAAAGGAACAGAGAAGAACTACAAAAACAACCAGAAAACAAGGAACAAAATGGCAATAAGTGCCTACCTGTTAATAATTACTTTATTTTTTAAGTTTTATTTAAACTCATTTAATTAACATATAGTGTATTACTAGTTTTAGAGGTAGAGTTCAGTGATTCCTCAGTTGCACATAACACCCAGTGCTCATTCCATCAAGTGCCTTCCTTAATGCCCATCACCCAGTAACCCCATCCCCCCACCCACCTCCCTCCCAGCAACCCTCAGTTTGTTTCCTATAGTTAAGAGTCTCTTATGATTTGTCTCCCTCTCTGATTTTGTCTTATTTTATTTTTCCCTCCCTTCTCCTATGATCCTCTGTTTTGTTTATTAAATTCCACATACGAGTGAAATTATATAATTGTCTTTCTCTGATTGACTTATTTCACTTAGCATAATACCCTCTAGCTCCATCCACATCATTGCAATAATTACTTTAAATATAAATGGTCTAAATGCTCCAACCAAAAGATAGAGGATGGTGGAATGGATAAAAAATACAAGATCCATCTATATGCTGCCTACAAGAGACTCACATCAGACCTAAAGACACATACAAGACTGAAAGTGAAGGGATGAAAAAATCTTACCATGCAAATGGAAGCAAAAAAAAAAAAAAAGGCAGCTGGGATAGCAATACTTATATCAAACAAAACTGACTTTAAAACAGACTGTAGTTGGTGATGGGCATTAAAGAGGGCACATGATATGAGCACTGGGTGTGAGACAACGGATAAATCACTGAAAACTACATCTGAAACTAATGATGGCTAATTGAATTTAAATTTAATTAAATTAAATTAAAAAATAAATTAAACAGACCGTAACAAGAGACAAAGAAGGGCATTACATAATGATAAAAGGATGGGGGCGCCTGGGTGGCTCAGTCCTTAAGCGTCTGCCTTTGGCTCAGGTCATGATCCCGGGGTCCTGGGATCGAGCCCCACATCAGTGGGAAGCCTGCTTCTCCCTCTCCCACTCCCCCTGCTTGTGTTCCTGCTCTTGCTGTCTCTCTCTGTGAAATAAATAAATAAAATCTTTAAAAAAAATGATAAAAGGATCAATCCAACAAGAGGGTATAACAATTGTAAATATCTATGCACCCAATATTGGAACACCTAAATACCTAAAACAAATATTAATGGATATAAAGAGAGAAATTAATGGTAATATAATAGCAAGGACCTGTAACACCCTACTTACATCAATGGATAGGCATCCTGGAAGAAAATCAATAAGGAAAAGGTGTCCTTGAATAACACATTAGACCAGATGGACATGACAGATATATACAGAACGTTCCATTCCACAACAACAGAATACACATTCTTTTCAAGGCCATATGGAACACTGTCCAGAATACATCACATGTTAGGTTACAAAACAGGCCTCAATAAACTAGAGAAGACTGAAATCACACCATGCATCTATTCTGACCACAATGCTATGAAACTAGAAATCAATCACAAGAAAGAAACTGAAAAAAAGAAATATGCTTCCCCCAAAGCACTCTCCAGTCAGTATCTCTGGGGAGGATGCTCTCAAATCTCTACTTTTTACAATTTCCCCTAAGAGAGCAAAATACCAAGGACCCAATATTTTTGTTGCTGTTGTTTATTGCCAGTACCAAATGATAACAAAGCACAATAAAAATATATTACACACAGAAAATCATATTTTCTCCTCCTTTAAGAAATGAATCTCACAGGAAAATCTGCCAGTATTGAGGGTGAGAATGATGGGAAACCCTGAAATATGCTGGAAGCAAGTGGAAAGCTAGAATAAGCAGCCCCCTCTAGACTCGTGTTGTTTCACATCTAAAAGCCAGCATTTAAGGGTAGCTCTTTCCTTGCCCATTTAGAGTAAGATGAACATAGAAGTCTCACAGCCACCACTGTCTCATGGGTCACAGATCCTCTCATCTCCCATTAAGTATCTTCTTTTTTTTTTTAATTTATTTATTTATTTGAGAGCGAGAATGAGAGAGAGAGACAGAGCATGAGAGGGGGAGGGTCAGAGGGAGAAGCAGACTCCCTGCCGAGCAGGGAGCTTGATGCGGGATTCGATCCCGGGACTCCAGGATCATGACCTGAGCCGAAGGCAGTCGCTTAACCAACTGAGCCACCCAGGCGCCCCTGAGCCACCCAGGCGCCCCGCATTAAGTATCTTCTAAAATGAGAACGAAATTACCCCTTCACAAAGCTATCAGAAGTGCCTCCTGACTTCACTGCTGTCAAATTCTTTGCCTCTTTGATGAACACTTCCAGGATTCCTCCAGAGATTACAGGTGACTCCTTCTTCTTTCCCCTTTTGAAGGTCTTCTTTCCTGTATCAGCCATCAAAAAGAGAGAGATGGACAGGGAGGGAGAAAGAAGGGGAGGGAGAGGGAGCGGGAAGGGGAGGGAGAGAGAGATCACGGGCTCCATTTCAAAATTCACCAAGAAAACCTGCCAAGATTTATTTCATTTGCTGACTGAACTGGGTCTTTATGTTATTGTGTATTTTTCCATGGATTTATCTCAATGTTTCTACCCCACCAGATTCCTTCTGGATAGGTCCTTCATTTGTGTTTGTTGAAAAAAAATGAATAAATGGAAAACTTTAAATACTTCCCAACAAGGAGTATCTTTTTACAGGGTATAGAGGAACAAAATGGAAAAGACTCTGAGAGCTGCCTGAACCACATTCTTGCTCTCAGTGAGAAATAGCTACAGAGAAAGCCACACAGAAGTGCCAAGACTCCAAAAGAGAAAATTCCATAACTTCCTTCTTGGGTATTTTAGTCTTAAAAATTTAGAACTGTACAAGGCCAGCTCTAAAGGCTATACATGGCCCAGGCACAACTACATTTTTGATTGAGAGAAAACTCTTCCCACGTCACATTTTTATTCTGATGAAATGTGCTCAACGTGAGTAATAACCACCGCCACCACCTTTATTCAGTACTGCTTTAAGCACTTTCCATGGATAAACCTATTGAATCCTTACAATATCCCTATGAAGTGAAGAAACGGAGGCTGAGAGGCAGTAAATTACTTGCACAGGGTCACACTGAAGAGAGTGACAGTGAATGGAAGGATAGAGGAGGCTGCCTGGATTAGTTGATGGTAGAAGGCCAAAAGGGACTGAAAAGTTGACTCCATCTGGATTTTTCTTTTACATTCTGTGTTCAACTTCTTCCTCAAGACTCCCTGAGTAACTGTGAATGTCGTAAATCCATACAGCAGCTTTTTATACCTCTCCTCTCAGCACACTGTACCCCTCTCCCCGTCCCTACTCCATCCTGGGGAAGATCCTCTATCTCCGGTATTTCTGGGAAACAAATACCACCATTAAGCCTTGTTTCTAAGTATGAACTTTGTCCTTTACTTGTAAAGATCCTGCACCCTTCCCCATATGTAGGATATACTCCACAACTCTCTTCAAAGACAGTGACACCTAACTGTTTACATTTTCATCTGTGTAACACCAAAGTAACATAGTCCAACCAATTCCTGATCCCTATTCCCATACTTCTAGACACAGGATGTCCTTGGTCAAAGTCACTGATTTTTACTCTACCTTGAACTTCTTCTAGAGGAAGCATCAGGTTCTCCTCTGGGGGGATGTAACGTAAAACAACTGTTAGCTCTCCTTTATAGTGAAGGCCTATGTCCGCAGCAAATTCCACCTGGCCAAAGGGAGACAGGTGAAGAGAAAAAGTGAGAATGCTTGGTCTATTATTTTGTAGCCCATGTTTGAGGGGTCTTGTCATATTTACTTGCTGGCTTAAATATGACAATCCATTCCCATTCAACTGTATTAGCACTTACTGGTTTAAGATATGCGTTAGGTACGAGAAGAGAGAGGCTGGAAAACTTTATGAAAGTATTTGTGTATAACTTTTAACATTAAAGTAAAAGGAATTTGAGAGGAGATATATGACACACGTGTGGTGAGTCAGTGGCTACTGCCTGCCTGTGGTGCAGGACCAGAACCTATCACTGAACATATAGTTTGGGGTACGAGGCGCAAATAAAGATACCACTGAGGACAGCTCCGGAAGACACATCTCCCTGCCTGGTCTTGATGTCTCAAGGCTGTCCTAAGTGACCAAGAGGGGAAAATAGCCAGTAATGCTTGATTCACATTGGGCTGCCCAGCCACCAATTATTAAAAGCTTCATTTGTGATTTACATGATTAAAATTTGATGTGGAGGGGTGCCTGCACGGCTGAGTCGGTTAAGTGTCCGACTCTTGATTTCAGCTCAGGTCTTGATCTCAAGGTTGTGAGTTCAAGTCCCACATTGGGCTCAATATGGAAAAAGTGGTTCACTCAAACATTGCTGGTGAGAATGTAAAATGGTGTAGCCACTCTGGAAAATGGTTTGGCAGTTTCTTCTAAGACTAAACATATAACTACCATACAACCCAGCAACTGTACTTTTGGGCATTTATCCCAGAGAAATGAAAGATTACGTCCACATAAAAGCCTGTATGTAAATATATCATCTTTATTTGGAATAGCCCTGAACTGGAAATGAACTAGATGACCTTCAAGAGGTGACTGGTGCAACAAAGTGTGGTACGGCCATACCATGGAATACTACTCAGCAGTAAAAAGGAATGAACTAGCAATACACACAACTTGGATGAATCGCTACAGAATTATGCTGAGTGAAAAAGCCAGTTCAAAAGGATACATATCATACAATTCCATTTAAATGACATTCTTGAAGTGACAAAATAACCGATACGGAGAACAGATTAGTGGTCGCTAGGAGTTAGAGAGGGGTGTCCAAAGGGAGGTCAGTGTGGCTATAAAAGATCACAAGGGATCTTTGCAATGACGGAACTGTTCTGTATCTTGGCTGTAGTGGTAGATAAAGCTACATATGTGATAAAATTTCATAGAACTAAATACACACACACACACAAATGAGAAGTGAGGAACTCTGAAGAAGATGGGGGGGTATCAATGTCATCACCCCGGCTGTGGTACTGCACTATAGCTTTGCAAGATGCTACCATTGGGGGAAACTAGGCAAAGGGTACATGAGATCTCTCTGTATTATTTCTTATAACTGAATGTGGATCTGTAATCATCTCAAAATCAAAAGTTTCAGTTCAAAAATTCAATGTGAACATAATACCCAGACCCTTTGCTCTGTAAAGCTCCTAGTTGCCATTGAGTCAACTCAACTGACTTTTCATAAATGGGGTAAGAAAGTTGGTATATTTTCTTAGGCCTTTCCTTCAGGAACCTGGCCCCTGGGCACTGAGTCGAGGGCTGAGAACTGCTGTCTTCTGAGAGGCCAGAAACCCCCAAACTCAAACAGCGAAGCCAGAGGCTGTTCAAGCCTCAGCAAAGATGACTGAGACCATTCCCAGGAAAAGGAATCCTTGCCTGACTTTCCTCTTGGTGGTGATAAAACTTATCAGTAAAGGTGGGAAAATCATTTGAAGTATTTTATTCAACCTTCTTACTAGGGGCAAACATGAGATTAGACAGTGAAATAGACTACCCATCTAATATTTAATCTAATTAAGTCACATGCCTTGTAAAAGGACTTTTCTTGTTGTTTTGACAGTTTCAGTAAATTTTACTTTATATGAATGTCACAAATGGAAAGTTGTAATGGGCATTATAGCAAATTAAAGAGGTCATTACTTTTTTGATGCTATAGCCAATGAGCGGTGGGGTATTTATCCTTTCTCTTTGGATCTGAGTGGACCTTGTGATTGGTTTGACCAGTAGACCATGGCACCAGTGACAATGTGCCAGTTTCTGGGCCCCAAGCCCAAGATCAACAGCTTCTACTTCCTCTCTTAGAATGATTATCCTTGGGATGCTCCCTCCGAGGACCCATGGTGTTGAGGCCCAAGCCACAGAAAGAGGCCACATGGAGGTACTCTGGTTGGCAGCTAACAGTAAGTGTGAGACAGCCAACTTGAACAACCAGCCCAGTCAATCCTTCATACGACTTCAGCCTCAGTCTACCATCTAGCTGCATCCACATGAGAGACCTTCACTGAGAACCACCTACCTGAGCCTAGTCACCCCACAGAATGATGAGCAATAATAAATTGTTTTAAGCCACTAAGGTTTAGAATAGTTTTCTATATAATAGCTAACCAATGCAGGCTCTATTTGCTTTTAGCTGAGAGCTTTGGATGGGAAAATATGTTGGTAGGAAAAAGTGATGTGTGTAGGTGTCACATACTAATATATATTACTAGAGGTTAGAACATGCAATACTGGGATTTATTGATGTTATTAATGTTCCACTGGTATTTAGCTTAATTAAAAATATACTGGTGACTTTCTATAAATACAGTCTTGAAATCTTGTAAGAGTAGAAAAGAGTAAAGATGAAGCCTTGTAGCATTATAATCACATACAGAAGAAATTCAAGGGAGGGAGTCATCTTGCAGCCTGTACATGGCTAATAAATGTCTTGGGATAGTTTGGGTATTCTTGCAAGGAAATTCCAAGGCAACGTCATCTCCTGACATACCATCATTTTACGTCATTCAACCACCTTTTGCTCCGAGAAAGGTAGAATTCAATTCAATTCAACTCATTCAATCCTACCAACACATATGGGATGCCTTCTTGTAGTAATGCTTTGAAGGCATTTTGCTAAGTGCTGCAGAGACACATGAGACAGACCCTACTGAGGTTTCAGTCTATCCAGGAGACATATATTCAATAGAAGCTCTATAAATCTGCCCTTATTTAACTGACTCATCAGATTAATGTTCTCCATTCCCAGTGAAGAGCAGGATCCTCTATACAAAGACCATGCATGCCTACTCCTATCAGTTGAACTGTATGCTTATCAAAAACCAGCTACATTCGTCTCCCAGGTTCTTTATGCCAGGCACGTCTGTGGTTCTAATTATATAATTTCATATCAATAAACTGACGAGTGCAAAAAGACAGTTACTACTATAAAAATTAATATGAATACTTTCAAAGAACTAAGTATTTGAAAATAAATTTGCTATTGGATTACATTTGGGCTCGAAGCTATAAAAGATTAGAAAACAATCATGAATATTTAGAAAGCTTTTATATTTGGTTTACTTTGAAAGCATTCTCAAGTTCTTGCTGCATTTTAGAAAAGCTCAAACTAGAAACCACTGATTAGAATGCACTAGGGTCAGAATTTATGCCAGGAAGATAGAACAGAATTCTAATCACCGAAACTATACTCAAACAAAATGAATTATCCCTATATTAAAAGACTTGAAAATCAATGCACACTTGTTTTAAGTTAAAATAAATGATTAAGAAATGCACTGGGGGTGTATGTTTGTTATGTGTGTGATTTCTGTGGCTTTATGAACTGACCTACTATTGTAAGCTCAGCTCAGACAAAGGATGACAGTTGCTTCAATACAGGTACAAAGAAACTACTGTGGGAAGAGAGAGAATCATCTAGATTGGGATAAAGAGGTGGCCTTTGCCTGGTGCTTAAAGGATGGGAGATATGATGACTGATAAAGAGGGGATGGGAAGAAGGTCAGTCTGGGATAAGAAAACAGTATAGTATGAGCAAGATTCAGTGGGGACTGTGTAAAATGTGTTTAAAAGCTGGCAGGAAGTCATGTGTGATTAGAGGTGTGTGTGAAGGGAGGTAGTAGCAAGGAAGATGAAAACGAGGTTTCTACTCTGGGTTGCCCGGAAGACCCTAAGACACAAATTTATCTTAGTGTGTTTTATTAGGAAGGGGAGTGAGGAAGTGGGACCACAAACTGAAGAAGGCTTAACAAGGTTGTGATATTGGGCAAAGTTTTATGGTGAGTAACTTTCTCTCAGTTCCACAGGGGAGCTTTGCAGACAAGACAGATCACATCTCCAAGAGCTGTCCCAACCAGGAGACAAAAGAATGAGAGTGTTGATGATGCTCCTTCACCCATCAGTTACTGGTCAAGGGCTCCGCCCTTCACCCCCAGAAAATTCTACCTTTCTCGGAGCAAAAGGTGGTTGAATGACGTGAAATGATGGTATGTCAGGAGATGACATTGCCTTGGAATTTCCTTGCAAGAATACCCAAACTATCCCAAGACATTTATTAGCCATGTACAGGCTGCAAGATGACTCCCTCCCTTGAATTTCTTCTGTATGTGATTATAATGCTACAAGGCTTCATCTTTACTCTTTTCTACTCTTACAAGATTTCAAGACTGTATTTATAGAAAGTCACCAGTATATTTTTAATTAAGCTAAATACCAGTGGAACACTAACATTAATAACATCAATAAATCCCAGTATTGCAGGTTCTAACCTCTACTAATATAGATTAGTATGTGACACCTGCATCATCAGGCAAGCCCCATCATCTTCTGCTTTTTGAAGAGATCCACATTACATCGGAGTTGGAAACAGAGTTCCCAGGACATTTTCAGGTCTAAGGTGGGGGTCACAGATTATGGACAAAAGTCTGCCCCAACCTCCAAATAGAGAGAGAGCCTTTTAGCTCAGTAATAATTTCACAGGAACTTGCATTTACTCTCCACCTGAAGGCAGAACAGAGAAGATTTCCTTGGAAAACACTTGAGCTCACTGTTGATTTTCAAAGCTCCTTGTTTTTATAATAGCACCTTCTGGGAAGACATGAAAGGCAATTCATACTGACAAACCCTTCTGGTCTACCTACCTAATATGCCTTTCAGAAAGATAATGAGTTACAGCTAATAAACAATCTCCTGTCGTGCAGTAAAATGGAAGTCGTACTGTGAAACTACTTTACAGCCCACTTGACAACTTGAGTTCTTCCTCTGTCTGCACCAGCCTCCTCACTGGCTTAGTGCCATAAGTCTTAGCAAAAACAAAGGCAGGTGCCGAGGGACGTTCACTAACACAGAGTCAATAAGAAATGAGGCACTGTGTCTTTCCCATATTCCCACTGCAAAGGGATGTCAGTATTTCCGAATGCCGAAGGACTATTCATTCTGATCCTCTATCACTAAGGAAATTGGCCCCTGTGGCTTACACTTCACCTCCTTAGCTGGATAATCTACAAGGAAACATCAAGTCTCCAGGGCTGCTCGTACTCTAGCTGCAGCTGATGAAGTGACTGAGATAGGAGACTGAAAACGAAGCAACGCTTCTCGAAGTCAGCTGATAATCCACCACCCGGAGCCCAGCTCAGCCTGAGGATGAGCCACCAATGAATAGGAGGCAGCCTACAGAGTACGTAGCACCTGTCCTCCCCATTTCTGGAAGGCATGGCGTCCAAACAAGGCTGAAACTGCGGGCTTTCCTCTACACGTATCAGAGACACGTCTATGCGTCTATATGTGTCAGAGACACATATATGTGTCTGTGTGTCATCTTTTTCTTGGCAGAGAAAGATGACATGGATTAAAGACACGAAGCTCTGTGGGGTTCCCCAGAGGCTCACTCTGAGATGAGGATTCTTAATGCACATGACTTAAGAATTGCTCCCAGAATAGACCAGGGAAGGGGTGACCAGGAAAAAGGTCAGGAGGAAGCCAGGCAAGGGGATAGCCTGATCTGGCAGGGAAGCTGTAGAGTGTAAGTAATGCCTTGGAGCACCACCCTCCTTGCCCCCGCCACTCTCAGTAAGGGAACTGGGCTTTCAGACTCCCCCATCTATGAGTTATTGGCAAAGAGTTGCCTCATGGTAGGTGGTACATAAGCTCCTAGGAGCTTCTGACTCTCTCCGCTCATTGGAAAAGCTACAGTAGCCTGGGAACAGTCTTCTAAACAGAGTCTCAGGTGAAGGCTGTTGGAGGCAAAATTCCTAACAGTCATGGTTAAAGGAATCCAAGGGGATCTGGCAGAGGACCAAGGAGTTCCAGACGTTACACTCAATCAGAACTTTTCTACCTTGAGCAGCCTGAGAGCTGCTTCTCCCTTATGATAGAAAGTGAAGGGGCACCTTGGTGGCTCAGTCATTAAGCGTCTGCCTTCGGCTCAGGTCATGATCCTAGGGTCCTGGGATTGAGTCCCGCATCCGGCTCCCTGTTCCGCGGGAAGCCTGCTTCTCCCTCTCCCATTCCCCCTGCTTGTGTTTCCTCTCTCGCTGTGTCTCTCTCTGTCAAATAAATAAATAAAATCTTAAAAAAAAAAAAGAAAGTGAAATCACTCAGTGGCAATGTGAAGGTGATTACCACGGAAAGTGGCTGGTCCCTAAGCACAGAGGATATGCCTGGGAGAGCTTAGATATCATCCCAGTGCAAGTCCTTCAACCATTTCCAGGAAACTGACTGGAATGTTCCAAGCTGTTTTCCAAAGAGCCCCTATGTGCTTTAATGTTAAATTTATGACAAGTTAATTTCATGTACTAAAATGAATGTTACTTGTCCTACATCTGCATCATGCTTCATATAATGTCTTGGATATTTTCTAACTATGATTCTGTGGTGCTCACCTATCATACACAAAAGGAAGCGAGTGACAGGAGACTGTTGAGTCAGATTAAGTGCTATCCTTCAGGGTGAGGCTTTTCACTCAACTCCAAGAGATTCAGTGTTTAATGACCAATTATTTCCCATGCTTAATGTCAAGGGAATGTTACACTCCTGCAGACGTATTTCTTGTGACTCTTGTATTTCCTATCACATTTATATTAGTCAGGGGCTTGCAGTTATTTTATGTTTAAGGACTTTTATTATATTTTATTATTAATTTTACCCACAGCCCAATTACACTTCCCAAAGATTTTCCATGAGTGATTTACACCAAGCTTGAGGTCAGTACTTCTAAAACTCTTACCAGAAAGTTGTATTTAACTTGAGTCTCGATCTCCTCAGATACAATGGAAATGATGATACTTACCTTATGATGTTTGTAGTGAACAATGCTGTTGCTGCTGCTGATCCACGCATGTGTTGTTGTTCAGCTTCCACTCACCATTCCTTTAGAACTACTATACCTGGATTTCCTTTGGGGCAATACTACCTTCAGGACCAGGGTATATTCTGATTGTCTTAAGTCAGCCAACGTATCTCACCTCCCTGGCCGGCCGCGGCAATTAGCTCAGGACAGGCAAATGATGTCATCAGAATGAGGAGAACCAGGCCCAGGGTGCTGGGTGGACTGCTGGAAGAGGAGGACATTTGTCCTCTCCCGGGCCGTGTGATGCAAGGAGGAGGGGCTTACACGTATTGTAATGTCCAAGAGAAGCATAGTAGAGCTAGTGATGGAAGCCAACTGCACAGAGTCTCAAAATGAAGCCAACACAGAGAAGAGAGACCAAGAGAGTCCAGGGCCTTGATACGATGTGAGTTATCTGGGTAAAGCCATGCTTGATAATCACTGGTCAATAATTTCCTTTTTTGAGTGGTATGAGCTGGGGTTTCTGTCAATTGCAATACAAGGACTCTCATGTAACATAAACACTACCTAGCATTTACTGAGAGCTTAAAATGTGCCCGACACAATTCTGCGAGCATTGCAGAGTGCTTCTCCAAGCTTCACAACATCCCAGTAAGATATGTCCAATTATTATATCACAAATGAGAACACCAAAGTCTGGGAAGTTAATTTGCCCAATGTCACACAGATAGTCATGAAGCCAGGACTGAAGCCAGGACGGAAGCCAGGAAGTCTGAATTGAGTCTACTATCTTTACCATCATGTTCTTTTTGCCTCTCTGTATATAAAGAACAATCTTCGGTTACATAAATGTGACCTTTTTTCATCTCACTTTTGACTTAAAAATTACTATAAATGTAGAGAGACTCCGGTTGCATAGAGTGAATCCAAGGTACTGTTGGTCTAGAACATGCTGTATTGCATTTAATTTCTAGAACCAGCTTTAAGATTGTTTTTCCGACTATAACTTAAAACCTGGGTTAAGAATCTCAAAAGTAGGAATATAGGAAACCAGATACTTTAGCTACTCCTTACTTCCTCATGTGAGCCAAGGCAAGGCCACTCCTGCTTATGTATGAATTGTGGAGAATGGGGAATAGAGAGAATGTTTTTTTTTGTTGTTTTAAGATTTTACTTATTTATTTGATAGAGAGACACAGCGAGAGCAGGAACACAAGCAGGGGGAGCGGGAGAGGGAGAAGCAGGCTTCCCGCAGAGCAGGGAGCCCAATGCGGGCCTCGATCCCAGGACCCTGGGATCATGACCTGAGCCGAAGGCAGACGCTTAATGACTGAGCCACCCAGGTGCCCTGAGAGAATGTTTTAAGACTGACTGGCTCTATGGATTTGTTTTTGCCTATGGGAAATTGAATGCTTTCTCTTTCTGATAGGATCATACAATGTACTCCCCTTTTTTAATCCATGGAGACGTTCAAATGATGAATACATTTTTAGTAAGTCAAATTAATAATACATATGACTATGTGACTTGCATTGTACAGACGGTCTGTATTAAAGAAGGAGTTCCAAGGAAAGGATTTACATGTATTGTATTATTCCAAAATTAGCTGCACTCATCTGTTCAGATTACCACTTGAAAATGAGAGAAGTCTTCAGATTCTCTAGGCCTATGACATCAATTTTGTTCCTAACCTGTCTCGTTGCATAACTGTTCGATTAATCTGGAGGCATTTCCTACCTTGGGCTGAAGCACAAACCACTCATCATTTGGATTTTCAAAGTTCCATGAATCAAAAGGAATCTCCACCTCCCCAAGGAAGCTGTTACGTCCAAATCGATCATGATGCCAGACTGAGAGCTGCAGAGTTCTTGTTTCCAGCTGGGCGTGGCTGATGGTGTACTGCAGACGAGAGTCACAACATCACACTCCATGTGGAGGGCTCTGCCCAATTCTACCACAGGCTGAAATTTACTTTCGCCATCTTTCAGATCATACACACTAGTAACATGAATGAAACACACACACACACACACACACACACACACACAAAAGCCCACTGTATTTTCCCTTGTTTATGCTACAACGGGGGTTCTATGCCATGAACTCATTTTGTGTTAGACCTCACACTGAAAGATGTATCAGCCAATTATTTAGGAAGAAGTCAATAAACTTCAAATAGTATATTAAAAGTATTAGGTAATGAAGACTGTCCCCTTTCCAGTTTTACCCCGTTTTCATCTGTGAATTGTTTTTCAACCTCTCCTTCGTAAGCTTAATGTTTGCTATATCAACTCTCCAACTTCTCTGTCTTATTTTAGTCATGACAAGAACCCCCAAATCCAGGAAAGTACCCTCAGTGAGAAACTTGCAAACACCAAACTTCATCAAGTCTCGCATAAGCGCAGGAGTGAAGAGACCAATACAGAGACTGAGCGGAAAGAAAATACTGCTGGGGTAGCTTTTCCTTTTCAGCAGAACATGATCCACAGCCACATGCCTATACACCCTCGAACCTCCTGCTAGTTCTATGCAACTCCCACCTGAGACACACTGCAGACTGTTTCTTGAACTTGGATTTGCTTCTATACCCATCTTTGCTGGTCCTGGCGTGATTGACCTTGGCTCCGTGCTTCCTGAATTTGCCACGTCACCCTATCTATTCTGCTTGGGCTCATCTTTGCTACCTTGTTAGAGCCACCAGATTCCCACCCTGCCTATATTCATTCATCCTCACTTTGATCTGTCTTCATATTGGCTCCTGCTTCCAAACACAACCCCACTGATGGATGTCCCCACTCACCAACTTCCTGCTATGGTGGATTCTGACTCCCTCACTCCAGGTACAAGGTCCATACATTTCCCTGCGACTGGCAATAACTTCTACATTCCAGCCTCCCTGGATCTTTCTTACCAGGCTAGATTGGTCCAGGGTGGGAGAAGGGGTTGTTACATAGAAGCCCATGGGGGAAAGAATGTCTCCAGGATTGGGGCCTGGGTCATGTCTTATCGGGGCCACTCTCCCTGAGGTTCCTCAAATCCAGCTGTGCATCTCCACTGTTCATTAACCACAGGCCTAAATTTAGCCCAACTCTGAAACCTGACAAGAAATAGCACACACTCATGCTGTGTGAGCAGAATGAGGAGTGGGCACAAAGTGACTTGCTAAGTTAGTGTCAAAACTGTGACAAACTCCTTTTAAGGGGAACTAGAAAAAACAGTTTTCCCAAGGGTGAACCATATTTTTTGACAAGATGCCCCGGCTCAGATGGAATTTCACTGGATCATCTTTACTTCAGGCGTCACTTTAGCAGCAGCGAGAAATAAGCCGAGTAAGGGTGGTTTACAGTTTTTCCAAAAACTGTTAGGAAAGCCAAGGGCGTGACACGAATGTATTCAAATTCTACTTTTCTAAAAGATATTTAAGTCTGGACATGCAAATCCTCCGTAGTCAATTTTAAACCAATGAGGATATGAACGGTATCACTTGCGTGAATATGAAAGAGCATGTACTCACCTTTAGCGTCTCATTGAATTCTGGATCGGTGCCTGTTCTGACCTTGGTCTTGCGCTTATTGTTTCTGGACTTGTCAGGAAGAAGGTATGACTTGACATAACTGTACATAAGAAAACATGAAAGTAATTATTGGAAGACATCTACTTTGCAAGGAATAGTCAGGGATTTCAGTGAATAAAAGAGGTGAAGGGAATAGGCCAGCAAACATGAGAGAACCAGAGAGAATGTAGTCTACATGGCAGGATACCTTAAAATATAACTCTGGGCTTCCAATAAGAGAGAAGCGGTAAAGTATAGTGATGAAGAGTGTGGGCTCTGAAGTCAAGCCAACTAGGCTTGAATCACTCCATGCCTCACTGGTTTTGGTAAACTCACGAACTTACTTAACTTCTCTGTCCTCAGTTTCCTCATCTGTAAAACTGGGATAATAACAGTATCCAACTTATGGCATTGCAAGGATTAAATTGGTTGATACATACAGGGAGCTGACATGTTGTACTCCTCAATAGATGTCATCTATTCATAGGATCAATGGTCTCACAAAATACTGTAGGGTTATATTCCTCTCTATTCCGATGTCAGAACTTCTGATGAGTGGAATCAGTGGTCACGGATGAATGAAGGAAAATGGTGAAAAAGAACAAATAGTAAATAACAACCTGATGTCACAAAAGCAATTCTACCTGACACCTTGTGCTGGGATATCCCAGGAGCCTCCTGGAGCAGGGGTATCAAGGCAAACTTAGAAATGCACAAGATGTACAAGACTGCAATGTACAAGATGCTACCAGAGCTGTGAAGCACATCTACCAGGGCTTTAGGTGACCTCTTTCCATGCTACTCTAAATGATTATATTGGTCCTGAAGCCCTTGAATATTCAGCTGAGGAAGTAGGTGGACCCATCTATACTCAGAATCCACTCATTTGTCTTTTTTTATTTTTAAGATTTTATTTATTTATTTGACAGAGAGAGAGAGAGAGCGAGAGCAGGAACACAAGCAGGGGGAGCGGGAGAGGGAGAAGCAGGCTCCCCGCGGAGCAGGGAGCCTGATGCGGGGCTCGATCCCAGGACCCTGGGATCATGACCTGAGCCGAAGGCAGATGCTTAACGACTGAGCCACCCAGGTGCCCCTCA